TCTCTCTCTCTCTCTCTCTCTCTCTCTCTCTCTCTCTCTCTCTCTCTCACACACACACACACACTATCTCTCTCTCTCTCTCTCACACACATACACACACCTGTACCTTGGCAGGGATCTACCCTACATATTCCCCCCAGCCGCGGTCGCCGCAGTTACGACCGAGGCCTGCAGTCATGGACCACGACCGCATCGATTTTCGCGGTCGCATGGTGGCCAGAGGGGGAGGGGGTTGGGGGTGGGAGTTGCGAATTGGGGTTAGGGAACCCTGACCCTACCCCCTAGATTTCCAAGGGGGTGGTGGTGAGTGTGTGAAAAACAATTAAAAATATATATTGTCACAAGATATCAGAGCGCAAAAGCGAAGAAAAACATAAAGAAAACAAGAAAAATGAAATCATTTTTTTTATCTTCTTCCTTRAACTCCCCCTGTTCAGAACCTCTTGCGTACAAGGTCGCCCACGTGGATGTAGGTTGAGCGGCGGCTGCCCCCACCCCCGTGTGTCATATCGACCCACTTGCACACAGCCAAAAGGCAAAGAGGCAAAGAAAAGAGGAAGGGAACAACCAAATACAACAAAACAGGGGGAAACAAACATAAACCAATCATAGATGAGAAGTCCCACATGCAAGCACGGCCCCCACCATCAGGGCCAAACAACGGGACAAGACCAACCAGGATTCAAAAACACCCTTGCTTGCAAGCAAACAATCCCAGATAACATACCTTTCGTGCGCGCCAGCTCCAAGAATCCTTCGTGATTGTTATTTTGTTGTTGTTGTTGCAAAAATTGGTATCGATTTAAATTGTCAAGTCACCGCTTCGCTGGTCTAAACTACATTACTCGGACACCACCAACAAAAAAAAAAACATAAAAGACGATCCTAGATGTCAATTGCCACAAAAAAACACCGCCCCCTACGCACAGGCCGAACAACGAACAACGGGAAACAACCAGTGCACCTAGAATGTCAAAACGATAAGAAAAAACCCGGCTGACAAGTCCCACATGAAATCACCACCACGGAGCTCCACCTACCGTAAGCAGAACAACGAGACTAAACCAACTGGGATGCAGACAAGGGTGCAAAAATCACCACCAAAACAGATTCTACAATATCCATAGTAAAATAACGGAACCATACAGTAGGTCCACAAAACAAAGCACCCTAACAATGGGGAAAAGAGTAAAGCAAAAACGAATGCCAGAATAAGAAATAGAGAAAGAGAATCAGAAAACTATTTTCTACCATAACCAAAGAAGAGCTTGCTAGTACAGGCCCGACGCTCGCCTCATCATCTACAAAAGCAGAGAGCTAGCAACGTCGGAGTATATATTGTCACAAGATATCAGAGCGCAAAAGCGAAGAACAACATAAAGAAAACAAGAAAAATAAAATCATTTTTTTATCTTCTTCCTTAAACTCCCCCTGTTTAGAACCTCTTGCGTACAAGGCCGACCACGTGGATGTAGGTTGAGCGGCGACTGCCCCCACCCCTGTGTGTCATATTGACCCACTTGCACACAGCCAAAAGACAAAGAGGCAAAGAAAAGAGGAAGGGAACAGCCAAATACAACAAAACAGGGGGAAACAAACATAAACCAATCCTAGATGACAAGTCCCACATGCAAGCACCGCCCCCACCATCCGGGCCAAACAACGGGACAAGACCAACCAGGATTCAAATATATATATATATCGTCATATATATATCGTCACAAACATATATATTGTCACAGAACTATTGACTAAGAGCATGAGCATGTGAAGTAGAAGAAGAAATAAGATGAGCAAAGAAAAGAAAAATGAAAGGACAGACAGGCAAAGAGACAGACAAACCAGAATGACACTTTGTTTCACAGTATTATTATTTCTTTCAGTCTTTTACAAAAATTATTTACACTGAATCAAAGGATAAAAATCAAAAACAAAGACACATTGAAATCATTCAGTTTCTCAGTCTTCTTAACGCCTCCTCCACTGTGCCTC